TGGCCTCCTGGAAGGAGGAAAGGAGCTGCATACCATGAAGAGCAGCATGTGACGGAGAATCAAGCCCAGGAGCAGGTAGTGTTGCGGGGCTGCCTTCTGCATGGCTCCTAACAGCCTCTTCTTTTTCCAGGTATGTGTACATTCCAGTGGGTGGGTCCCAGCATGGCCTGCTGGGGACACTGTTTTCCACTGCGATGACATTTACATTTGTGAGCTACTGGCATGGCGGCTATGACTACCTCTGGTGCTGGGCAGCACTCAACTGGCTGGGAGTCACTGTGGAGAATGGAGTCCGGAGGCTGGTGGAGACCCCCTGCATCCGGGACAGTCTGGTGAGCAGGATCCTTGTTCGTATAGTAGGGGATGGTTGAGAGGGACAGTAGTCATCAGAATCACCCCTGCAGATTCCTATAAAAGAAATACATGTTTATTATATAAAAATTAGAAAATTCAGGCAAGAAAAAAGAAAATGCCTCTTCAACAGAAACTATAACATCCATTTTTCTAAGTTTTTCCTATGCATATATATATGTATATATACACACATGTAAATAATATTTAAAACAAATGCTGTTTTTCCAGAGATATGGTTGTATTGGGACTGAATCCATTTCTAAGAACCCTTTTTAATGGCTGCATAGAATTCCATTATGTGGATATGCCATATTTATTTAATTAGTCTCCTATTATCAATAATCATATTTCAAAAATTTTTTGCAACTATCAGTTATCATACCCAGGATACATTCTCATAAGTAAAATAGTCAGGTTAAAGGTTTTTCTCATCTTTAAGATTCACTGTGCATACTACTTATTAACTCTTAATTGCCCTGTAAACATAGTGTCCCAATTTATATTCCTGCCAATATTTTCAGTGTATGAAATGCCCCTGCCAATATTGAGTAGTACTGATATTTTAAATCTGTGATAGGTACTGTATACAGGAGCTAAGGACTTAAGACACATTCCAACTCTACAGGAAAATGACTTGGAAAATTAATTAAGCAATTTTCTTTACACATTTTAGGTGATTTTAAGCTATGGGCATACATTTTATCTTGTAAATGTGGTATATAATGCATTAGAATCTTGTAAAAAATCAACAGTTCTGACTATGCAACAATATTCTGCTAACCCTGAAAAAAGTAGCTAAAAAGAAATATGCTGGCATCCCTGTTCATGGCAGGCAATAAAACACAAAACGTTTACTGGAAAAAATGATTAATATGGCTAAATTCCACCCAGTACATACAACTAAAGCAATTATATTAAAACAAACAAACAAAAACACCATAACAGAATACATTTTAGTGTGTTTTAATAAAAACTTGTACAAAGCACATAACCAGATAACACATCTGAAGGAATTTAAATATGCATATGCATGTTTAAAAATAAATATTTTATTTAGTAGAAGTACCCAGCAATCAGCAGGAAAGAAATGCCAGTGAATTCTAATAGAAAGTGGTATTTCAATGAAAGCCATGGCTATGTAACACACAGGAAAACCATAAAAGGTGTTATCATAAAGGTTTTAATCTTCATTTTCAAATCTGAGCAGTCTTCCTCAAAGTCTGAAAACTGAACATCACCCATGAAAACCACAGGGTTCTCTTTAGCACAGTCTGAAGCCCATAACCCATTTCCATGTTCTTTCATGAAGGATCTAACATTAACCTTAAACTTAATGTTATAAGCAGTGCTTTGTGACCTTCTAGCCGTAGCTTATGATATTAATACATTTTAAATAAATTTTGAAAATCTAAAATGATAAAAGAGTAACCCAACTGTACTATGTAGCCTATGGCTTATTAATTTTGGTTAAAAATAAGACAGCAAATACACTCACTCACAGCACGAAGCACTTGAATGTCGGCCCTGCCCCATCACAGCTTACTCCAGGACCCTCAGGTGTTCACCTCACCTGACCTTCCATTCACAATTCAGGCATCTAGGTGCATAGTAATTTTTTGATGTGCACCTTTTATTAAAATATTTGTCTTGTATTTTGCAAATATGATGTTTGGTTTACATATATATTGAGCAAGAACATATTTTATAATTCCCATTTTTATCACCTGTCTTTTATCTTGGAAGCATGGTAGGTGGTTATGGCTGTTTAGATGAC